ATATATATATATATATGTATAATCAAGCCTCTGTAGGGAGGCCACCAAGAAGAGAGAGGCTGTTCTCCCCACTTGGATAAAATCCATACCAAACTAAAAGCCGCCGTCGGCTCCCTAAGGATAGTGGCCTTTCTTCGGTGTGACCTTCCCTAGGAGGCTTGCAGTATTCCGCTTCGACCCAACTGCTGTTAGTGAAACGGATCAGTTCAAAAACGACTGGTGATTCTCCCCGACCAACTTAAAAGCTGCACACAGCGTGAAGTTGTGTCACCCTCTGGGTGTTTGTGAATACTCAAGATGGCCGACACTGAGCTATTGTTTGCTGATGCCAAAAGCACAATTCCCACCGATCGACATTTAGTCCTATCGTTACTTGCAAATGTTTGTAACTTTTGCATGACAGATTCCGTTTAACATAACCACTGTAACAATTACACTTCTAGTTTTTCCAAAGCGCTCGGATCGCAATCCGGCTAACCTCGTTTACTCCCACCCTAGACACACATCACTACCGATCTCGAAGTAACTATCCAGAGAGCACGCTCCTCATCGAAAATTTACCGTAGGGTTTAATGAGTTATCTGGACGGTTTGAATAAAGCACATCAAACCCAAAGGAAGATTCTGATTGTAAGGCCTGCTCAATTTGGTCAGTGTGAGGCTTATGCGCAATGCCAATTCGCTGTTTGTAGGCCGATATTGTTATTCGTCCTTGTGTGCTTTTTGTTGGTGATTGAACGTACGTTTGGCATTTCCCAAGTGCGAGTCCACCCGTATATACTCAAATGGTGGATTTTGTGGAATTTTTAAGCACCAATAACTGCTAAGGTTTTGTACAGTATGTGGCCTCCTACTGCTCATGTAAAACAGTTTCAAAAACGCTGAAATTTTTTATGTAGTTTTATGAGTTGTTTTGAAAATGAGTACTCGGGAGTATCACGATCTGAATCTTCCCTACTCCCCGGTTAGTTCGTGGAACTTACCCATTGCAGATAAAAAATGCAGCGAAATTAACCGATTGAGGTTGTTGAACTCCAAACCAACTCTCTCAGTCTTGGGTACCACTAGACACGTGGAGTTGCTCGTATGCACTAATTCGGATAATAATTGAATAAAATGGGGAACTTATTTCACTGAAAACTTTCGTGGTGGAATAGTTGAAGAAATTCCAGTCACCTTCTATTTGTGTTCGTGAAATTTTGCTGAAGTACACTCCCGCGTTTTTAACGCAGCCTTGAATATGTTCTTATCGGCACGTGACAGATCGAGTCGTAAATCAAACCTGGGATTCTAACTTACTTCTGACCTTAACTCTCGAGCGATGGAGAAAAAAGTAAACCAACCAGTCCTGTCTAGTCAATTTGACCAGATTGAGCATGACTCATGAGCACAATTAGATAACCAGACAAAACAAACTGCTCCTGAAAATTCGTCAAAGTTACAGACGGATTATAAGAACTTATTTTCGTCAAAATCTTCAATCGAATCAATGACCTCTATGGTTCGTAAATCACTAAGGACCACAATTATTGTGGCCCTGACAGTCTAACTGATATCGCCTCGATACCGTGAGCAACGAAGTTGATTAAAACTTACTTGAACTTCCGGATTCACCGAGCATTCTTTCTTCACCCAGTTCATTACTACATATAAAAATGTCCAGGTAAATGCATATATAACTATCATACTGATTGGCAAACACAAAATTTCGGTTGGCTCTCATGGTGTCCTAGGGACTCCACAAACATGAAAATAAGTCTAGCGTTGTGAAAAATTCGGATAATAATTGAATAAAATGGGGAACTTATTTCACTGAAAACTTTCGTGGTGGAATAGTTGAAGAAATTCCAGTCACCTTCTATTTGTGTTCGTGAAATTTTGCTGAAGTACACTCCCGCGTTTTTAACGCAGCCTTGAATATGTTCTTATCGGCACGTGACAGATCGAGTCGTAAATCAAACCTGGGATTCTAACTTACTTCTGACCTTAACTCTCGAGCGATGGAGAAAAAAGTAAACCAACCAGTCCTGTCTAGTCAATTTGACCAGATTGAGCATGACTCATGAGCACAATTAGATAACCAGACAAAACAAACTGCTCCTGAAAATTCGTCAAAGTTACAGACGGATTATAAGAACTTATTTTCGTCAAAATCTTCAATCGAATCAATGACCTCTATGGTTCGTAAATCACTAAGGACCACAATTATTGTGGCCCTGACAGTCTAACTGATATCGCCTCGATACCGTGAGCAACGAAGTTGATTAAAACTTACTTGAACTTCCGGATTCACCGAGCATTCTTTCTTCACCCAGTTCATTACTACATATAAAAATGTCCAGGTAAATGCATATATAACTATCATACTGATTGGCAAACACAAAATTTCGGTTGGCTCTCATGGTGTCCTAGGGACTCCACAAACATGAAAATAAGTCTAGCGTTGTGAAAAGTTGTGGTGCGCAAAACGGCTTGTCTTTGACACATCTGAACCATGGACAGCATTACCGCTCGAGTACTTACTGCGTGAAAGAATTTGACGGGAGCTGGTGTCACAGGCAGGTGTAGAAATCTCAGTATCTTGTCTGAAAATCTCGAAAGGGAATAGTGAAAGGGAACAGTCTTTTCTTGATGAACTTATGGAAAAGTTCACTGTAGACCAGTATGCAAGCGCGTAAGTGGATGTGTGGTGTCTGTATGAGACATTAGGGTTTATGAGGAACTCCTGTGAGCGCCAAACGACAGACAGCAAGAAACAACTCGCATCCGATGCTCTCTAATTACTCAATGATTCATTTTCGTTACAAATGGCTTGCACCAGGGTTGTCAGGCCACTCGTTAAAAGTTCCGCACCTCCGAAGAATGCAAGGCAAAACGCTTCTTGACAGGGTGCCCGTTTGCCTTTGAGGAACCATACATTTCAATGGATTTTTGTTATCGATTGAGATAGCACCAGAAGCTGCACGCATATTTTTCCCATAGGTAGAGCTCATCAAGGTCAGAACGAACTATTTACGCTCGGGTCAGCAGACAATGAAAAACCACATGAAAGTGACAGATGTCAGCATCTGGTCCAGAAGTGAATCGATAGCAAGAAATCAGTGCACTCTGATTAGTTGTGGTGCGCAAAACGGCTTGTCTTTGACACATCTGAACCATGGACAGCATTACCGCTCGAGTACTTACTGCGTGAAAGAATTTGACGGGAGCTGGTGTCACAGGCAGGTGTAGAAATCTCAGTATCTTGTCTGAAAATCTCGAAAGGGAATAGTGAAAGGGAACAGTCTTTTCTTGATGAACTTATGGAAAAGTTCACTGTAGACCAGTATGCAAGCGCATATTTGGATGTGTTACAGATATTAGCATCTGGTCCACCAGTGAGTCGATTGCAAGAAATCAGTTCGTTAGAATTATCAGTGACCACACAGGCCTACGTACACCGAATCAGGCACATTGATACGTGTTACGAATGAATGAATTATCGTTGATAGAAAAGAAATTAATCGGACGAAGTGAACAGATTTGGTTTCCTCGTTTTTGAATGGTTCGTGAAATACACAACGAAGACGCTCATGAATCACGTTGACAGATAAATATGTCTATTGGACTGCAACGCTTTACCTTCTGATGGAATCAACCAGAGCGTCTCTTTAGGAGATGTGGATACGAACAACCGAAGAAAGATGTTTGGGCTAGTAGCCTTACCATGTGACATTTGAATGTGGTGACTAGTCACCCAACCTTCGTTTTTCCTACGTCACGTTAGACATGCTTTGTCTTGTAATCGGCTTTATTCATTGCTGATGAAGGAAGGTTTCACTTTTCAAATGCTCAAGGAATCCGCAGTACATATTTGACCCGGATGCCTATATTTCACCATTTAAGTTTACATCGATCTACCTTCTTGTTTTGTGTTTCTCGTTAGATCATGGCAAAATTCGCGGCTCAAACATGTATTCCGTTGGTAGTTTTAGCCATCACAGTGTGTTTTATGGACAACTGCTGCGTCGCCCTAGCTTTGATCAGCGAACCTATATTCTGGTTGCGAATTGGATTACTTATGCCAACTTCTTTGGCGTGTGGCTGAATGTTTGAGACTTGAGACTGGTTTGTACGTCACCCTGTTAGTGTTTGGCGCCGCTTTTATCCAGGAACTAAGCAAGTTCTCTGCCTCGGATGAGGAACGTCGTCGAAAAACCTTCTTGGTAAAACTAAAATTAAAAATTTAGAGTGAGATACGGGACGAGAATGTTGAAGATGTTATAGACTGCAATACGTTATTTGTGTTTCACTGGGTGTTGTTTGTTGCCATAACGCCGGAAATTATCGTTTCACCGTGGACTATGTTGGGATCGCCTGAATTCCTATTACATGGTTCTTTCAGTTTGAAGGCTTTCCGCTACTGAACGCCTACACATGCCTTTGCACGGTCATAAACACGAAGCCAGTTCAGTAGACTGCATCGGTAAGCATTCTCCGAGCTTGTAATCAGTGATTGCCACTAGTAGTTGCTGGATCCCCATGAAATCCTCGTTCTTCTGAGCAGTTACACTG